CCAGGGGTGTCTGTACAGAGTGTCCAATAACACACTGCACCCCAGGGGTGTCTATACAGTGTGTCCAATAACACACTGCACCCCAGGGGTGTCTATACAGAGTGTCCAATAACACACTGCACTCCAGGGGTGTCTATAAAGCATGTCCAATTACATACTGCACCCCAGAGGTTCCTATACAGAGTGTCCAATAACACACTGCACCCCAGAGGTTCCTATACAGAGTGTCCAATAACACACTGCACCCCAGGGGTGTCTATACAGAGTGTCCAATAAGACACTGCACTCCAGCACCCCAGGGGTGTCTATACAGTGTGTCCAATAACACAATGCACCCCAGGGGTGTCTATACTGCGTGTCCAGTAAGAGTCAGTGGAAAGAGGAAAAAGATACTGGACTATGTGATCATATTATTCTATGATATATTATTATATTATTACTACAGCATTAGCATTAGAACTGTTCAAAGCTGAACAACACCCAGTAGTTTTTCCTAGTGCTGCTGCCTCAGAAGCTGTAATCACCAGATTTCCAGTCCAGCCTGCCTGTCTCTGCAGGAATGGACTCCAGCCCGTCACGAACAGCAGCTCCTGCCGCTGGTGCCTGTGATATAAAGCGCCGGCAGGGACACACAGCCCTCCCTGTGGCTCACTGGCCCCGGTCGCTCATGCCCGCCTCTGTCACTCACCCACGTTGACGAAGCTCATCACCGTGTCCGCCTCGTTCACCATGGTGCCCAGCGGGGGGATGTGCGTGCTGAGGGTGGGCAGAGCCGCGTGGCCCAGGTGCAGGCCGGCCGAGCCGAGCCCCAGCCCCAGGTACTCCCCTTCCTCCGCCCCAGCAGAGACCGTGTGGTACAGGTCCAGCATGAACAGGGGGGCCGCGGAGGGGGGCCGCAGCGGAGGGTGGGGCCGCGGCCGCCCCGGCAGCCCCAGGATGGACAGGATCTCCCTCTGCACCTCCTTCCTCTCGCGAACGCTGAGGCGGCGCAGCAGGAAGCCGGAGTGGGGCTCCCGGCCCTCCGCGGAGCCCCAGAGAGAGAGCAGCCACAGCAGCAGGAGGGGCAGGGAAAGGGGGAAGAGCTGCCTGTGTGGGGCGCTGTTCCTCCGCCTCCTGCCGCTGCTGGCCTGGCCGGCTGTGCTGCTGCACATCCTCCTGTTCCTCCGGTCTGTCCGTGTGACAGTGTGACGCTCTCTCTCGGAGTCTCTCGGAGTCTTCCTCGTCCCGTCTCTCTCTCTCTCTCTCTCTCCCTCTCTGTCTGTCTCTTGCCTGTCTCTCTCTCTGTCTCAGTCTCTTTGTCTGTCTGTCTCTCTCTGTCTGTCTCACTCTCTCTTGGTCTCTCTCTCTCTTGTCTGTGTCTCACTCTCTGTCTCTTGTCTGTCTCTCTCTCTCGTCTGTCTGTCTGTCTCACTCTCTTGATCTCTCTCTCTCTTGTCTGTCTGTCTCACTCTCTGTCTCTTGTCTGTCTGTCTCACTCTCTTGGTCTCTCTCTCTCTTGTCTGTCTGTCTCACTCTCTCTCGGTCTCTCTGTGTTCAGATAGTTCACCAGCAGTCCTGGGGGTGCTGAGCAGAAAGACGCAGTTCTTACTTCCTCTCACGGCCCCCTGTCTCTCTCTCTCTCTCCAGTATATCTGCCTCCTCTCCCCTCCCTTCCTCTATTTATCTCGATTCCCTCCCTTCCTCTCCCTCTCATTCCCTCTCTCTCTCTCCCTCTTTTTATACAGATATTATTTTTAATTGCAAACCCTCCTCCTCCTCCTCCCTCTGCCTCACAAGCAGCCCATTCACCGGCGAGCGAGCGGGAGAGAGAGCGAGAGAGAGAGGGGTGTCACTGTTTAGACACAAAACAAACCAGAGGTTCCTTCCAGGCTCGGCGATAACTTTGCCCTCCGTTTAGCCAAAGCAGCTGAAGTGGCAGCAGCCCAGGACCGGAGTGAGGAAGCAGGGCATCGGGAGAGCCTGCAGCCGAGGCGTACCGCGCTCCGGTGTCGGAAGGGGAGACGCTCCCGAGCATCTCTGCAGCGCCGGGAATCCTGCGCAGCTCCAGCACCTGGAGAGACACCGCAGCCTCGACACGAGGACCTGGCATTCCCGCCACAGCAGTCCGGGAAAACAGGACAATATCCTGGGGGTCTGTCCGCTCGCCGGCCTCTCCGGCAGGAAAAGAGTCTGACCAACAGCAAAAACAACTGAACAGAAACTGCAAACTGCTGCTCGGGTGTGAGCACCGCTCTTTGTGAAACAACAGCTGGAAAAGCCTGGAATTAAAATCTCGATGTTCCTAGCAATGGGTTTCCCTCGCTCTCCGAGTGCACAGGAGTTCTGCTCCAGCACGTAGCCTGACAGCTGCCTCACAGGCAGGCAGCAGTTTGCTAGTGTGCAGGGTTAGACAGGCAGTGTGCATTGGCTATTCAGTGTGCAGGTGTACAGTGCGTTAGGCAGTGTTTTTCTCAGTGTGCAGAGTGTTAGCCAGGCAGTGTGCATTGGCTACTCAGTGTGGAGTGTAAGGCAGTGTGCTTCTCAATGTGCAGTGTGTTATTTAATGTTCAGTGTTACTCAGTATGCAAAGTGTTAGGCAGTGTGCATTGGCTACTCAGCGTGCAGGTAGGTGTACAGTGCGTATTGGCTACTCAGTCTGCAGTGTGTTACTCAGTGTGCAGAGTGTTAGACAGGCAGTGTGCATTGGCTACTCAGTGTGCAGTGTTAGGCAGCGTGATTCTCAATGTGCAGACTGTTATTCAATGTGCAGTGTTACTCAGTGTGCAGGTGTACAGTGTGTTAAGCAGTGTGCAGTGTTACGCAGCGTGAATTTCCAGACGTTGCTGTATTTGTGCTGATCCCTCCTGCGTTTGGTGTTTTCACATATGGTATTTTGTGTCTAGACAGATCCCACACACACATGTGGGTAAGTAGGCTGTTTGAAGTCCAGATGTGTCTGCGAGAGCGTTCGTGACCACTGCTCGCTCTGCAGTGGTGGTGGGGAGTATTTGTCACAGATTTTGGGAAAAGGGACGGAAGAGCGTGTCTATATTTACACTCACCCTCACACACACACACACTCACTGTGGAGTGGGAGCGTTGCCATGGACACCGCCCTTCTCAAACCCCATCCGCCCTGGTAACCACTGCGCTGGGGCTTCGCCAGGGGCCGTGAGCGAGCGAGAGACATGGCTGACCCTCCCCACGTCAGCAACTCCCTCTGTGGGCCCTGTCCCCGTCTCCCCTCCACACTCCTCCCAGAATGGCCCACACGCACATGTGCACACATCCTGGCACTCCTACACACACACACACACTCCCACAGACATGTGCGCACACACTTCTATACAGGTGCACACACACGTGCACGTGCACACTCTCGTGCACACACTGCTGTTCCTCTATTTGCTGGGACCTCCCATTAACACCTATTCTGTTGTTACTAGTCCAAACTCCAGTCAAATGAAAATTCACAGGGTGGTGAAAGATGATCCCAAGCTAAATACGTGGGGAACTTTTCTACTTTAAAGAAGAATTTGGTGCATTAAAACATCACTTCTATTGCAGGGGTGACCCCACATTGCCCTGGGGGGACCTGCCTCAGCCAGGTGAAGGGGCCGCTCTGTGTCGGGGGGGGGGGGGCTCACACCCAGGAGCAGCAGACAGGCTGGCGTACCACGATTATCTTCTCCATCAGCTCCCTCCTCATGGTGGTTAATTGGGCCTGGAGATTTAACAACAGGGATGTTCCTCCTCCTTTGAAGTCTACGTGCCGGCGGTCAGCTCTGCTCTGATGTGTACAGATGCTCTTGTGAAGCAGTCCCACAGCCCGGAAAACACAGTCGCCCCCCTGTGCCAGTCTGGAGCCACAGTCTCACAGAGCCCCCCTGTGCCAGTCTGGAGCCACAGCCTCACAGAGCCCCCCTGTGCCAGTCTGGA